AAAGAACAAGTAATCCAATCAAGAAATGGGCAGAAGACATGAACAGACATTTCTGCAAAGGATACATACAAATGGCCAACAGAATGCTCCACATCACTCACCATCAGAGACATACAAATCCAAACCACAGGGAGATCCCACCTCACACCAGTCAGAATGGCTAAAATTAACCAGTCAGGAAACGACAGATGTTGGCAAGGATGCGGAGAAAGAGGAACCCTTCCTACACTGTTGGTGGGAGTGCAAGCTGGTGCACCCACTTTGGAAAAGAGCATGGAGGGTTCTCCGAAAGTTGAAAATAGATCTACCCTACGGCCCAGCAATCACACTACTGGGTTTTACCCCAAAGATGCAAACGTAGTTTAAAGAAGGGCCACGTGCACCCCGATGTTCATAGCAGCAATGGCCACAGTCGCCAAACTGTGGAAGGAGCCAAGATGCCCTTCAACGGACGAATGCATAAGGAAGATGTGGTCCATATACACTATGGAGTATTATGCCTCCATCAGAAAGGATGAATACCCAACTTTTGTAGCAACATGGACGGGACTGGAGGAGATTATACTGAGTGAATTAAGTCAAGCAGAGAAAGTCAATTATCAAACGGTTTCACTTACTTGTGGAGCATAAGGAATAACACAGAGGACACTGGGAGAAGGAAGGGAAAAATGAAGGTGGGGAAATCAGAGTGGGACATGGACCATGAGAAACTATGAACTCTGAGAAACAAACGGAGGGTTTTAGAGGGCAGGAGGGTGGAGGGATGCGTGACCCTGGTGATGGGTATTAGGAGGGCACAGGTTGCATGGAGCATGTAATACGTAAACAATGAATCATGTAACGCTACATCAAAAACTAATGATGTACTGTATGGTGACTAACATAACACAATAAACAAAAAAGATGAAAGACAAGCTACAGAGTAGGAGAAAATCCTTAGAAAACACACATATGACTAAGGACTATGTTCAGAACACATGGAGAGTTCTTAAAAATCAGAGTAAAAAATAAACAATCTGATTAGAAAATGGGCAAAAGACATGAAGAGACATCTCACTGAAGAATTTATACAGATGGCCAAGAAGCACATACAATTAGGGAAGTGCAAATTAAAATCACAATGAGGTAACACCACATGCCTATCAGAATGACTGCATCAAGGACCGGCGAGGATGTGGAGAAAGTGGATCACTCCTTTACCACTGGTGGCGATGTGAAATGGTACAAGCACTCTGGGAAACGGGCTGGCAACATTCTTTAAAAATTAAATTCATGGGGCACCTGGGTGGCTCAGTCGTTAGGCATCTGCCTTCAGCTCAGGTCATGATCCTGGGGTCCTGGGACTGAGCCCCATATTGGGGGGTCCTTGCTCGGTGGGGAGTCTGCTTCTCCTTCTCCCACTCCCCCTGCCTGTGTTCCCTCTCTCGCTGTGTCTCTCTTTGTCAAATAAATAAAATCTTTAAAAATAAAAGGAGCACCTGGGTGGCTCAGTAGTGAAGCGTCTGCCTTTGGCTCAGGTCATAATCCCAGGGTCCTGGAATCGAGCCCCACATCAGGCTCTCCCTCTCCTACTCCCCCTGCTTTCTCCCTCTCCTACTCCCCCTGCTTTGTCTTCCCTCTCTCGCTATGTCTCTCTCTGTCAAATAAATAAATAAATTTGTTTTTAAAAAATTTAAAAATAAAAATAAATAAGAAATAAAACATAAACCTACAACTATCATATGACCCAGCAATCACACTCCTGGTCATTTACCCCAGAGAATGGAAAACTCAAGTTCATACAAAAACCTGCATATAAATGTTTAATAACCAAAAACTGGCAACAACCC